AAAAAGAAAAGTTAATACATGATTTTAATAAATAAATCTCAATATGATATTATATAATTAACTAATTAAAATATGAGAAACGATCAAATAGAATCTCAAAGTATAAATTGTGATTGTCGTGATAAATTTTTTGTTAACTTATGTTAAATAAAATATAATTGTTATGGGCAACCACCAAGACCTTCATCTAGATCTAGCTAGTTAATTGGGATGTTTGGTAAATAGCTGTTAGCTTATTGGTTAGTAGATTTGACTAATTGATAGCATTAACTGATTGTAGAAAGATATTTTTAGGGTATTAGTTGTTAGTTGATAGCTGATTACATGCAAAATAACTTTATTAAAAAATTGATCAAAAAAAACTGCTTTGAGCAGTTTTTTGAATTGTAGCGTTTTGAAATAATAAGTTGTTACAAAAGCTAATTAATCAAACACTCATATTGACTTTCTAACCAAGCCAAACAACTAATAGTGGTAAAACAAGCCAAGATTGACTGAGTCAAAGACAATTATCTTGACTATTTTAGACAAATACATTGGTACTCCTATATGGACGATGACAACCATGGATAAAAACGAACCATAAACGTGACCTTCATCCTCGTCCAAAATCTAGGATGATAATAAAAATTCTCGTTCATGTCAAATTAATTTTTTTAATATAATAAAATTACATAAGCAAACAAATTAAATAAAAACCATCCTATCAACCCTAGTCTACACTTGAATATGAATTCAACATATTAAATGACATCCTAACCATGTAAATTGCATTTTTGAAATAAATACAGATATTTATGTAAACTTTTTATTTTTACGTTAAAGGTGTAAATAAATGTTTTTCAAAAATTTGTTTGGTCATCAACTCATTAAAATATACGGAGTACTATATATTAATGGAGAATAGTTGTCAAAATAATATTATTAGGAGTACTATATATTAATGGAGAATGGTTGTCAAAATAATATTATTAATTTTGTAAACCTTTGCACTGGACAGATCCTATGTTTCAATGTTTTGTATCAAAAATAGGAAAAAGAAAAGTTAATACATGATTTTAATAAATAAATCTCAATATGATTTTATCTAATTAAATAATTAAAATATGAGAAACGATCAAATAGAATCTCAAAGTATGAATTGCGATTGTCGTGAAAAATTTTTTGTTGACTTATGTTAAATAAAATATAATTGTTATGGGCAACCACCAAGACCTTCATCTAGATCTAGCTAGTTAATTGGGATGTTTGGTAAATAGCTGTTAGCTAATTGGTTAATAGACTTGACTAATTGATAGCTGATTGTATAAATATATTTTTAGGGTATTAGTTGTTAGTTGATAGCTGATTACATGCAAAATAACTTTATCAAAAAATTGATCAAAAAAAACTGCTTTGAGCAGTTTTTTGAATTGTAGCGTTTTGAAGTAATAAGTTGTTACAAAAAGCTAATTAATCAAACACTCATATTGACTTTCTAACCAAGTCAAACAACTAATAGTGGTAAAACAAGCCAAGATTGATTGAGTCAAAGACAATTATCTTGACTATTTTAGACAAATACCTTGGTACTCCTATATGGACGATGACAACCATGGATAAAGACGAACCATAAACGTGACCTTCATCCTCGTCCAAAATCTAGGATGATAATAAAAATTATCGTTCATGTCAAATTAATTTTTTTAATATAATAAAATTACATAAGCAAACAAATTAAATAAAAACCATCCTATCAACCCTAGTCTACACTTGAATATGAATTCAACATATTAAATGATAATACATCCTAACCATGTAAATTGCATTTTTGAAATAAATACAGATATTTATGTAAATTTTTTATTTTTACGTTAAAGGTGTAAATAAATGTTTTTCAAAAAGCTCCATTTGGAAGATTGTGAGTTCGAACCTCAGTGGAGACGTTATTAGTTCTTTGTGTTTCAGTAGGTTGAGAAAGTATATGAACAGATACTACATTATAATAGAGCCAGTAGCATTCAAAAAAAATGTTTTTCAAAAGCTTGTTTGGTCATCAACTCATTAAAATATACGAAGTACTATATATTAATGGAGAATGGTTGTCAAAATAATATTATTAGGAGTACTATGTATTAATGGAGAATGGTTGTCAAAATAATATTATTAATTTTGTAAACCTTCGCACTGGCCAGATCCTATGTACCTCCAACTTAGCTTGTCATCAACTACAGTTTATATAATATAGAGAGGCATCCGATTCAGAAATCACAATTCACGTTTCTGTTTACTATTGACAATTCAGAGCACGTGGTGTTAACTAATTAATCCCAAAAAAGAGAAGAAAAAAAAAAAAAAAAGAGGAACCAGAACAAAAAAAAAAAAAAATTATGGGAATCATAGGCTGGCGAATATGACATGGATTTACTAAAATATGGTTAGTGATATAAGCTTTATTTTGTATATTTAAAGAAGGTCAACAAAGTAAAATAAGGAATTAAGTTAGATCATTTTTTTTTTTTATTCTTGATGTATATATAAACCAGATCTGTATTATTGTATGTATCAATTTGAAAAAATTATGATATTATGTTATTTGAATTAAATAAAGAGAACCAAATAAACAGGTGGAGAGACACCACTATGAGGTTTCTCCAATCCAGGAGTAGAAAATGAAAGCTCCACTTTGGCTGGCATAAAAGAGGTCCATGCTTTTCATGCTCCAGAGGAGCTTATCCAACAGAACCTAATCCCTTTGGCCTGCCAATGACAAAGCTCGAGCTGACGATGATTTATCTCACCTCCGGATGACATTTGTCCCCCTGCATCTACGACACTTCAATTTGAAAGCACATTTTTTACTGTACACAATTAGCACGTTCAACCTTTTATTCAGTACATAGCCTCGCTTCCCTATAACCTTGTTGTCTTTTATGAAAGGACGAGCTTAGTAGGTGAAAGTTGAAACATAATTATCCTACCAAAATATTTTAATTTTGATTATTACTAATATTAAATACTCTTACAGTCAAGTATTTCGTACAAAATATTTATTTATGAGTAAATACCAGCAAACGTCCTCTGACTTTGGTGGCACTGCCACTTTTAGTCCTTAATTTTTAAATCAATCACTTCTAGTCCTTTTACTTTTTGTTTTTAGCCATCTATGGTCCTTTCGTTAAAATTGGTCATATAATGCCCTTTTCTAAAGGGTAATTGAGTCCTTTCATAATTAATTTATTAATTACTATGTTTAATTTCATCATCATAATAGTCAAACAATGATTTTCCCCTTTAGAATTAATTATGAAAGGACTCAATTATCTTTTAAAAAACGGCATTAGATGGCCAAGTTTAACGGAAGGATCATAAATGGCTAAAAACAAAAAGTAAAAGGACTATGAATGGTTGATTTAAAAGTTGAGGACTAAAAGTGACAGTGCCATCAAAGTTGGAGGATGTCCGCTGGTATTTACTCATTATTTATTGTGTAATAATTATTAACAATTACACATAACTATGTTTATTTAATGCACACTTTTAAACAATGATTATGAATTTATATCATCAGTTAATAAGTAATAAGTAATAAATAATAAATAACAATAATAAAAGAACAAGGTCAAAGCTAGTGTGATTTGATATTATTTCAGTAAATATTTGTTTGCCTTTTAACGAATATTATTAAATCTAAAAAATATTATACATTTATACGATCTTATTTTATATGATTTACTCGATCATATTACTTAGGGTGTGTTTGGTTTGAACATGAAAATCGAAATCAGAATGTGAATCAAATACTTTGTAATTTAAATGAGTTTTTGTGAAAGTATTTTACAGTACTATATGGGGTGGAACTATAATGAATAGATAATTATCAAAATTTATGTTTGGCTATATACTTATGTATGACTCTATAATCATAATAAAGGTAAAAAAAAACTAAAAAAAAAAAAAACTCAAGGCAATTATTTTAAGCATAGTGATGAAGTGCGTATGCAATGTAGTGAGGAAGTCGATGAAGTAAGAAGAGACGAGTGGTAGGCGATGAAATGAGGAGAATAAGGCTGAATGGAATGGTACATGGTTTAAATTAGGTAACGAGTTTTGTAATTATATGAGTAATCAAATCTTATACATGTCCCTTAAAAAATCTTATACATGTATTTTAAAACATTATATACCAAACAATGTGTATGACTTTCATTTCCATTTCATGTGTCTAACTACATGAACCAAACCACCCTTATTTTGATTTAATAAAATTAATGTTTTAAAACATTATTTATCTACTAATCTAATAAGAACCAATAAAGTTATTTGTATAACATGAACAAAAAAAATGTTGGTTCAATAATTTTTTTTTAAAATGAATAGTTGGTATTATTTTGATTTTATTATTTTTTAATTATTTTCCTATGCTATTCTCTACTATATTATTTTTCGTAAATATCTCCACAGTTACCCCTATATACATATAGCATTCAAAGTGAGTATAAAATATTACAAATAAGAAAACTTGAAAAATATTAATTTTAAATACGAATTAAAATTAATTTAGATAATTATTTTGTTAAAAATGTAAATTAAACATTAATTTTAATGTCAACTATAATAAACTTATCCTATATAAATTTACATGTCATTAATATAATTATGTATTACATTAGTCACACAATGCGCATATAAAAATTAGTTAATATAAAAGGCCGAATTTAAATTTTATAAAATATGATAAAATAAAATAAAATAAAATAACAAAGATTGAGGCTAAAACTTATTACTTCGTGTAATATACTTGTGATTAGATTTTTTTTTTTTTTTTTTTTTTTTTTTGGTATAATCCGTATTCACTTTGTTGACTTGTAGAGTTGTACGTTACAAGGGATGGAGTTTGCTTTATCCACTTTTGGGCAGAGAAAGGTAGTTGTAAAGGTTGTACGTTATAAGAATAGTTTAACTGCGGTAAGTTTTGGGTGCCCGAAAATCCGGTTGCCTCAAAAATTGTCTTGGCGGTGAAAAATGCACCAGTCCACGTCTATCCCGCCCCCGCTAAAATGCGCCTCTCCTCCGCCAGTCTTCTCTTTTCCGACCTGGAATTTTCTCCGTTAAACAACCCGGCTATAAAATTCTCAAAATTAAAAGAATCAAAACAAAAATCACGGCATTACCACCGCATCGCCGCCGAATCTACCATTTTCACCGCCGCCGTGGATCTTCACCATCACTCAATCAAGACCTATATATACAAGTCACGTGTATTACCCCACAAAAGAATTCGGTTCCTTGTAAATTCGGACAATTCAGCTGCATTTGGCATTTCTCACGCACTATTCCCGTACAATCCGATAAAGCTTCTATTTCTGGTAACGTAAACACGTTTGATGATACATGCAGAGAGATTCTACGAAAGCTCAACACCTGTTGAAGCACGCATAAGAGCCAATCCAGCTGCAGTGATCGCTTTTGGATTGCATCATCGGTTCATCACCGTCAGCAGCCAGAAATATCCAATCAGATTCCAATTCGAGCGGTATCAGATTCCTCTCTCCTCTGTCATTTATCTATCGAATTTTTGAGAGATGGCCAGTATTTAAGGAACGATGCGAATTCCAAAGCGTTCAGTTACATTTTGCCTCTCCGTGTTCTATCCTCCTCCGGACTTTATATCTTCTTTTTCTCGGAACCTGCGCTTTCACTCCCACCAGTTCGCTAGCAGAGGCAACTCCATTCGTTCTCTAGGTGCGTGATTTTGCCTGGTTTCTTCTCATACACGAGCACCACTAGCGAGGAATATGCTTCTGTTGATGTCTTCTCTTACAGTTTATTTTGGAATTTGTGTTGCTTTGCATTGCTCTTTGAAACGCATGATTCTTCCCACTTGTCAGTAAGTTAACTTTGGATTTGTTATGTGACAAGACTCTTCTTGGTTGAGTTGGAGACATAAGGTGGATTGATGCTCATTCACTTTTTTTTTTTTTTTTTTTTGGTTTTGGCCTATCACTTTCATTTTTTATTTCATAATTTGTGGCTAGTCAATATTTAGTCTATTGGTGGGTGATTCAAGTTCTGGTGGGTGAAGTCAAGGGATTAGTCTATCATCTTGTGAACATAGGCAGTTGTGCTTGGCCTTTTTAGCCATTCAAGCATTACTGAGCTACTGGATTTATATTTTAAATTTATTTTGATCAGCCATTCAAGTTTCTTACCAAACTTGTCTTGCTGTTCAAATTCTTGCAGAACTTCTTAATGTTGTTTTCAAAAGGAACTATCTGAGATTTTTCTAAAGAGGATTTCAATGTTGAAATATCTTTTAAAGTACTATTGATGATCTCTCTCTCTCTCTCTCTCTCTCTCTCTCTCTCTCTTATGCACATGCACACACATTGAATTTTGCATGCTATAATTGGGTAGTAGGTTTATTGGAATTCACTGTTAATTAGTGTGAAGAATTGATTATACGGGCTGTCTTTTTGGAGGTACAACAATTCTGTTGAGTGAGGAATTATAATTTTATGAGTGAAATTAACTTTGGCGAAATATAGGTGTTCCTTGGTGCACATCTTGGAGTATAGGCTTACAAGTTGGAACATAACCTGGTGCTTGTTGGTTTTGCAATCGGTCCTAAAGGTAAGCTAGTAAGATTTGCTCTAGGAAAGAGTCACTTGATGTAAACTTCGCCATTTGTCTTATTTTCCAGTATCTATAGAAAGTAATAAAGGTTGTTATAGTTGTAGAGGACTGTTGTCTGTAGCACAAATTTATTCAGTAAAGCGGATTCAAAAGGGGATGTGGATATTTAGCAACTCTGGACTTACACATAGATTAGAATGTTGGTCTTATGGTCATATTTATTTGATCGTAAATGTGTGTTTAATACTGATGGAAACTAAAGTCACTGCTACCATTTTATGTAATATGTATGTCTTCTGCAACTTTTTTTGGGGTAAACTGTATGGTGTTATGCTTCTAGTAGTTAGTGAATTTCATTGCAATCACCTTCATGTTCAGAGTTCACTTTGTTTTCTGGAATTTTTGTCCTAAAAAATCTTCTAATTATGAAACTTGTATATATTCTCAGGCAGTAGTCAGCTGCATACAAGTGCAATGGGTGGTATGGGCATGGACGGCAATAAAATACAGCTTGAGAGAGAAAATGCTTCTGATGCTGGTCAGCTTTCCTGCACATGGGCATCTCCAGGAGGGTGCAAAATTGACATAGGAAAACAGATATTCTGCAATAGATCTTTGAACATGAAAAATATAGTTGCTGTTGGGTTTGACATGGATTACACATTGGCACAGTACAAACCTGAGACATTTGAAGCTCTTGCATATGAAGGCACCATAAAAAAACTGGTTAATGATTTGGGTTATCCTCAAGAGGTCAGTGTATGATATTGTTGTTTATAATTGACTAATTGTTTCGGTAAGAGTAGTCTTACCATGATATTCCAAGACCAATGTTTCTACTCTGTAGCATTGGTTTCTTGAAGCATATGTATGGTGATATTTTTTGTCCCTTCCCTAACCCTATTTGATTTGTTGATAAGACACACACACACACACACAGAGCTGTTACAATTCTCAGCGTGCTTTAGTTTATTGGTATTCATTGCCATCTTTAATTACCTTTTTTTTAGCTGTTGCAATGGTCCTTTGACCCGAGCTACATGGTCAGAGGATTAGTTCTTGACAAGAAGAGAGGGAATATATTGAAGGTTTGTGCTGTGTTATGAATGATAAGGTTTCTGAGCTTTAATAATTTTAATTTTAATTTATGTTCCTATATTCCTTCTCCTTTACAGATGGACAGACACAAATATGTGAAAGTTGCTTATCATGGATTTAAGGAAATGTCAAAAGAGGACAAAGTTGCAACTTATGGAAATACTTTGATACGAGATTCATTTGATGAACCTGACTATGCCCTTATTGATACTCTTTTCTCCCTGGCCGAAGCATACTTATTTGCTCAACTAGTGGACTTCAAGGACAAAAATCCTGGAAAAATTCCTGAAGAGGCAGAGTAAGATAGTACCCAAAATTATTGGTATTACTATAAAATGTGGTAGCAAACTAATTTACATTTATTCTCTTTCTTATTGAATAGAACATATGTGGTATTAGGTTGCAGACATGCTTGTCCTAGGGATTCTACTAACATGCCTGTTTTTCTCTACGTATTTGTGGAGCTTATCTACTCCTAAAGCAGAAGCATGGTCAAACAGTAGAAAGAGAGAACTCACTTTAAGGCTAAAGAAGATGAGAAAGCCTCTATCATGAGAAGCTGAAAAAGCCTCTGTTTCAAGAAACACAAAAAACTTATTTGTTTATTTTAAAGAAGCTCAAGTTGGGATGAATAAGCACAATGTATTCTGTATCACAGAGAACTGAATGGAGAAAGTAGCCAACTAAGCTAGATTGAGATTAAAGCTTTGTTGAGTTGAGTTTCTATTGGTGTATCTTTGTAGTTGGCCAAACTTCATATGCCCCAGATTTATTTTCTTTTCTTGATTTTTTTCAAGGGAGGTCTCTTTACCAGCCATGCCTCAGACTGTAATTCAGATATTGATTGTATTTCAACCCAAGAAAACATTTATCGTAAAACTAATCAGTTAGGACTTATTCTTCATAACATAGTTCCCTTCATCCCCATTCTCTTTCAGAAAGGGGTACGATTAGTCTCCAAATGATGGAAAAGTGTCCTTGCCTAGAAGCTTCAAATGGTTCTTGACAGTGGCTAACACACAGCGGAAGTGCCCAAATGGTCACTAGTGGTCAGTTCAATCTTTCTGAGACTGTTCTTAGTGATAGACTGGGGAGTGGAGACTTTAGTAGCCCATTAATTTTGTCAATTAAAAACTCTTCGACTTTCTAGGAACCCCTTGAGGAGTACATAAAGACCATTTAGCCACAATTGATATGAAATAATTGAGAAAAAAGGATAATCCATGAGGATAACATAGAAAAGAAAATGTATCAATAGTTTGTTTATTTATTGGTTTGGGAAGATTACAATAACATATAGGATTTATAAGTAAAAGGAGTTGGGGGTATGGTACTGCAAATTGCTTTGTCTGTACGTTTCTACTGGATTAGGCCTGCTAAGGTTCCTAAAATCCAAACAGCACCTGTTACTTTAAGACTGCTAAAGATTCAACCAGTGATTTATATATTAGAGAACGCTAATCTAATGAAAATCTTCTTGCTATAAGTTTAATGTTTGCCTAGTCTAAGAATTAAAGAATTTTATATCCTTCAATTGATAGATTTTATTAGACTTCTGACACTTCCTAACCCTTGAGCATCTATTGAAGAATAATTTGGGGAGCTCCTATAAGCAGGGTTAAGTACCTTGATAATATTTTCCCACAACCTTTATATCCCTTTATATAACTCTTTTGTTTGTTTCATTTTATATAACTTGTAGCTGCAAATACAGGCATACTGCATACTTTTATGGCTTGAATTATGTTAGTCTATGCTAACCCTCACTCCACACCCCTTCTCCTGTCTTCTTACTTGCTAATTGATGCTTTCAGCTATTCTCGTATGTACAAGGATGTTCGAGCAGCAGTAGATTTGTGTCACCGTGATGGGACCTTGAAGCAGGTTGTTGCCCAGGATCCTAAGAGGTAAATAAAATTTTGAGTAGTAACAGTTACTGCGAAGATGTAACTTTATGCAAATAGTGTTATAATATTGTTGAAATTGAGAGACTGAAAGGCCTAGCAGGTGGTAAATAGCTACTACCTGTCAGTTAGGTGAAAACAAAATATGTGAGAAGCTAAACGAAATAAGAATAATTGTATTGATACTAATTTAATTCCTATTCTATGAGATGGATACTAGTAAATACTAAATAGCTACTACCTGCCAGTTAGGTGGAAACAAAATATGTGAGAAGCTAAAGGAAAGAATAATAACTGTATTGATACTAATATAATTCCTATACTATGAGAAGGATACACATGCATATCATAATGGCTAGGTTACAGCTAGGATTACGCGAGGATTTCTATATTTCAACACTTCCCTCAAGTTGAAACATCTAGAAGTTCCAAACTTGAAATAAAGTGGGATGGAAATCTAGAAGTTACAACTAAATGGCTTTGGAAAAGTGGGAAACATGAGAGTATGCACGGTCCTTGAGAATGAAGATGAAAGTGTCAAGGGATGGAACCAAACACGAACAACCTCACTTTAACGCAACTATGAAAGATTAGATGCAACCAAAGGATACCATTTCCGGATGTGAATGGCTTGGGAAAAATGGGATCCACGACATTGTGCACTATCCTTGAGAATGAAGATGAGTGGCAAGGGATGAGACCAAACATGAACATCCTCAAAACAATATGGTAACACAAGCACCCTAGGACAAACGGACAAATGTTAAAAATAAAGACTTTCTTCCATCATAGGCAATAGAGGTAGAGGATAGAGCAGGAACAACAATGGGATACACATTTAACCCATAGTGCTGAAGGGAATAAAATAGGACATTGGTTGGTTGTTGATGGTGGCACTCCCCCTTGAACTTGGGAAAAAATCATAGCGTAGTTGGAATAAAATGGCCTTTGGAAATAAAAATAGAAATGGAAACAAACATGGAAATGCCAAATTTGAGAACCTTTAGAAAAGAAACCCAATAATGGAATCAAGAAGCCTTGGAAAATTCGCACAAGGGAATCATAGCATTGTTGAATTCAAATGTCCTCTGGAAATAAATATAGTAGTACCTGAAATGTAACACCCTTGAGGAATAAATATGGCACATCAGTAATGTCATGGAAACAAACATGGCTTGAGCACCTTTGGAAAGGAACCCATTACCGGAATCAAGAAGCCTTGGAAAATTAACACAACATTGCAATCCATATTGTTGTTCAAGATGGGTAACTTGTAGTTATAAAATCAAACAATGTGGTGCTAGGTGAATGGTGTGGCTTAAAGACATAATTGAAGTGATTTAAAGTGAATAGCACGCTTATGGTTCATTGAGAAGGAATCATGTTTGGTTGAATTTATTCATCATACTAGAACAAACTAATTCATTATTTCAGTTCCAGATTTTTAACTTCTATATGCTCCTAACGCATTGACCTATTGAACACCAGATATATCACAGCGGATACCTCAATTGTTCCCATGCTCAAAATGCTGAGAGAATCTGGGCGTGCTACTTTTTTGGTTACCAACAGGTAATGCTTCTTTTCTATAAACAGTGAAATGAATATTTATGAACATTAACAATTGGTACTGTTCGAAGATTTGCTTTGATACTGAGAAAAACTCTTGCACTCTCCTTAAAATTCCTTTCCATATTGTTTAACAGTCCTTTCAATTTAGTAAGTCCATGCTTCTAATGTTTGATTGTCCCATTAACTGTCCTACATATTTAAAGAACATAGTTGATCCTGTATTGGACTCTAATTGTTGATGTATTTCATGATAAGATGTGATGTTTGAAAACTTCAAAGTTGCTTGATAAAAGCAGCCCTTCTCCCTAGCCCCCAAAAACTACCTATTTGTATTTTGTGCAGTGATTTTTTTTTTTTTTAATAGCAAATTTGAAAGCTTGCATGATTGTTACATTTATGCAGTCTGTGGGACTACACAAATGTTGTAATGAAATTTCTTTGTGGGACCAAGGCATCAGATGGTTGTTCTACTCTCAACTTTGAATGGCTTCAATACTTTGATGTTGTCATCACTGGCAGGTCATCATCTTTCCTTACTACATAGAAAACATCTATTGTTTGCGCTTCTTAATTGCCAAAGCATAGCTGCTGCCTTGTTACTTTTCCTCTCTTGGGTTAATTTGCTTAATGAAGTTCTCAAAAATAAATTTTGTCTGCAGTGCAAAACCAGGTTTTTTCCATGATGAAATTCGCGCTAATCTTTTTGAGGTAGAACCTCAGACTGGAATGCTGATAAATACTGATAATGGCTCACCTATGCCTGAGGTCAGTGTGATTTTGATTATTTTGCTGCATGAAGTGTGTAATTTTTCTTCAAGTTTTTAATTTTGTTTCAAATTTACCAATTAGGTAGGGAGCACTACCGTAAGATTGCCAATAAAGAGCTTCCAGGAAGGATGCAGAATTTTCCAGGTATAAGTGCTGTTACGTATTGTGGTTTTTTGCATTCGCATGATTTAAAAATATGTGATCATTCTACAAGTATGATTATTTCTGTATTTTCTGAGTATGATTGTGATCTTTCTGTACACTTTTCAGGGAGGGAATGTTGGCCATTTGCATAGATTGCTCAGCATTGAATCTAGTTCACAGGTATCTTCCAATCCATCTGTTCAAGACAATTTCTCCTGTCAGAACTTTGTGGAAAATTTAACCTGACTATAAATATATTGCTATTGTTTTTTAAATTCTCAATAACCAATATATGACTGCAAAAAGATTGTAGAGATCTATATACTTGAATTTTTATTATGTTGAGCTTGCTGTCTACTTGTAGGTTCTTTATGTTGGAGATCACATTTATGGAGATATTTTGCGTAGTAAAAAAGTTTTAGGTATGCATTTCATTGTGACTATTTGTTTATCTCTCAATTACCATCCATCAATGTCATCCTCATTGTGTCTTAATACTAGTTTGACAATTTTTTGTTTGGGTAGGTTGGAGAACAATGCTTGTTGTTCCTGAGCTTGAAAAGGAGGTTGAACTTCTTTTAAAACATAGGGAGACACGGAAGGTATAATAAGTAGAATCAGAATTAGATATGCAAGTAAAAGAATCAAATACTAATGGGAAATAACTCTTTTATTAGTTGTCATGCATCACCATTGGTGGATGCTATAAAATTTGATGTCTATAAATTGGGTTACTTAAATATTATTATGAACTAACTTTTTATAGCAGCATGATCGTTTAGGATAACTGTTTACATTCCTTTATTTTCTAGTCCTACCCTCTATACACATTTACCAATTTGCGACTCCAAATAATTTGTGGTCCCATGCAGGAACTTCAGTCTCTAAGGAGTCAGCGCGATCACATAGAAGATGAAATACATCATCTAAAGTGGTCTCTCAAGTAATTTCCTTTTTCTTGCCCTACAAAATTGGCATAACTACACAATTCACATGATTACATGTTTGGTATCATCTATTTGAGAAGATTACTATTTATGTTTTGTTGACACTCCATGTTACATGAATTTTAAACCTTTTGAGATCAAGGTTCTCTCATCTAGACAAATCTGTAATCTTGGTATGTTAAAAGTGTCATTAATCAATTTTATGTAAAACACCTTTTTCTAGTCTCACTTTTTGAAGGGGTACTGTTTGTCACAAAACAAATTTTACCCCCCTCCCAGCCTTCCGCTCTTTTACCCCCTTTCAATTCCTGCTTTGTCTGACTTATGGTTTTTGTTTTGTCATTTGGGATTATGTGTTCAGGTCTCAAGGTGGAAGTGATGCAGGAAGGACATCTACTGAGCTTCGTGAACTACAGGTTGGTATACTTGTGTTTACTAATAGGGGTACTGATAGTTTACTAATACTTGTGTTTAATAATAGAAACTAGAAACACCTTCCATAAGAGACGGTTTAAGGGACATTCCAAAGTACAAAGCGAAACAAATGGAATAGTTGATTTAGCCAAATGTGCTTGGTCACTCTGTCTCATTTGAACTGTTCTGTTATGTAGTCTAAGAGAGAGCAGGTCAGGCTTAAGCATCAGGAGACACAACGAGAATGCCATCAGAAGGTAATTGGGAATTCCTATATAGATCCCCTCTTATTGAAAGATGTATAAATGTATTCTACCACAAGTCTTGTATGAATATTTTCAGTTCCATGAAGTATGGGGACAACTAATGAAGACTGGCTATCAGAATTCTCGCTTTGCACATCAGGTCAGAATTGTAAGACAGATGATTTGATATTCATAGCTATGCTGTGATCATTGGTTAAGCAAAACTGTTTGTTTTTTCCTCAGGTTGAAAGGTTCGCATGTCTTTACACAAGCCAGGTTACAAATTTGAGCCTTTATTCTCCGGACAAATACTATAGACCAAGTGAAGATTTTATGCCCCATGAGTTTGATATCCTCTCTGTGTAAGATGCAAGAGTTACCCCAATCAAGACAGGACTGATCTACCGTTTTGCTAATATTTGGTATCATTTTCCTTCTCTTACATACCAATTTGTTCAGAGTCAGTTGTAAATTGGACCTCGTTTCCTGCGTCAGCTATGTAAAGGAATTCCTTATGTTTTACTTGTGAAATTGAATCATTGTCTTCCAATAAATTATTCCTTCTTTGTTTAATTTCTTCAACATTTTTTTTTTAACAATTTTAAATTTGGTTTTTGTATGAGTTTCAAAAAAAAGAAAAGAAAAGGTTTTTGTATCTATAGTATTATTGATGTAGTTTTCAAAAATATAAATTTTATATGCTGACATTAAGTTAAATTAAAGGGAAATTGCACTACTTGTTGATTGTGTTCACTTGTCGTCCCAAGCTAACAAACATTAGGAATGAAATTTTTGTAACAAATATTAGGAATGAAATTTGCAATGTAAGTTATAGTTTAACTTGTTAGTGAGTGCAACTTGTAAGGAAAAAAAAAAAAGACGAAATTTGTAACGTCAATTATAGTTTAGGGACAAGAAGTATAAGTAGGGATAAATTTTACAATTATTATATAACTTATGATAAAAGTGTAATTTTTTCTAAATTAAATTATAAATAACTTGAATTGAGTCTCACTCATCAAATTCAGAACACAAAAGGGGACGGGGAGGGAGTAGTTCTTTTGAAACATAACATCAGAAATACAGGGTATTTTGGGTCACAAACTGCCCATGTTAAGTTTTGGTAAAAATTGAAAGTTTGACTAAAACTGCATAATATTTTACTCTGTTCTAAGAGACACAGACAAGCTGAACATATCTGAATGCTGCAAACAAAATGCATTTCAATTCAATACTGGCATTAACTATTACATATAATCACACTCGAAAATTTTCTATTTGTACCTTGAAAGGTTTCATGTTTTTCTTCAACTAACGAATTGCATTCGGGTGCCTAAAGCAATACTGTTACACAAATTCAATACTCCCCCTAGGCATTTACATTCACATTTTTGTGCTGGACCTTATTGCAGTCAAGGCATTATAAAAATCCTGTAGCTTGTTTACACTTGCAACAGTAAACAAGCTCTTTATGCAAATAAAATCCTGAAGCCTCTTGTTCACATTCTCTGGTTTAAACCCATTTTCTTCATAAGCCCAGCACAAGAGAAGCCATTGTAGGAGAAGAGAGGTCACTCTTGGATCTGCAGAAACGCAGTTGATCAAGGCACTCAATAAAGCATAAAATGAATTCAGAGTTCTCGGCTTAGCTGGCTGGTATCTTGTCTTTCTAAATCATGTGACTCCACTGGCTCAGGGAAAATCTCGCTGGAGGATTTATTCCGAGAAGATGAATGCTCATTCCCACTACTATGAGATCCTAGTCTAGAAGTCTGTTTAACGCCACTTGTACCTTCTTTGCTCCCTTGGCTCGCATTGTTACTATCAGATGAGCTGTGGCGCCAGCTACCAAAGAAAGCTGATGTCCATGATCTCCTGGATGAAGTTGTTCTCAGCTTTCCTGAGCTAAAATCTTGCCTCACAACCTTGAAAGGGTTTTCCAGTGCTTTTAAGACGTGCCTCATTATGGGGCGTCTGGAAGGCCTGGGATTAAGGCATGACTTTGCCACCACAGCCACTGCCCATACTTCTTCCAGCAAGTCCTCATCAACAATCATGGACTGGTCCACAATCCCGGCAATCTTTTCCCTTTCACTTATACTTACGAAAGAAAGAGTTCTATCCAACCACTCCTTTGTAGAGTTATCGTCTCGCTTGCTTATGCCAACCTTGCCAGTTACAAGCTCAAGTAAGACCTTTCCAAAACAGTAGACATCGTAAGCACAAGTTGAGGATGGTCGCTTCCCCATACTATGTGTGCCCTTTCCAGAGCTCCTGCACATTGTCAAAAGCAGAGAGACCTCACAACTCTGGGCAAATGCATATTAAACCAAATGTAAAGTAAAGAAGCCTAAAATTCATCAGTTAACAACATTTCACTACTAATTAGTTCGGGTATTGACACAATATCAACATATTTATCAATGAATTGACACATTTTTAGCATTCCATCTGTTTAATCCACCAGGTTGCAGGATTAATTTTTTAGAAGAATTACCCAGAATGACTATCCTCTTTACCACCAAAAATCATAATCATATAAGATTAAGACTCTTGAATGAAATTTGAGGAGCAATGTGATCTAAGTACAGAATCACAAATCAGAAGATTGTATTCAATGCAGAAATATGCTATCTTTTCATTGAACTACTTACTGTGGTATTCGCAGAAATTTTGAGATCATATTCTCATGATTATTGCTGCCCTGAACACAAACTTTGCTCAGACTTCCCAGCCTGACCTCGTATTTATCATCAAGAAGGATACTGCTAGATTGAATATCCCTACAAAGCCAAGATGTTCAGTGTCTAGCAATCAGAGATTGAGATAACATTAATGAGAAAAAAAAAAGGTTCAAAATAACATGGAGTAGGCACAACAGATTTCTTCCTTTTATTTAAGTGAAATTAGTGCATAAGAAATATTATGATACCTGTGAACGAGGGGAGGATAGCATTCATGGTGTAAGTATGACAAAGCTTCTGCAGTCCCAATTGCAATTTTCAATCTTGTTATCCAGTCCAAGGATTGTACATCTTCACCTTCGGAATTTGATACACTGTACAATAAATTGGACAAATCTCCATTTGGCATGTACTTGTAAATCAAGCACTTGTCACTCTCCTGGTCCAGGCAATGCCCTAAAAGTGGGATCAACCTAGGGTGATTGAAATCCCTGTAAAACTCCAGCTCTAAGATGTATGATTTATTCTCGAGGGATTGCAAATTTAGTTTTTTAATTGCCACGGGGCATCCATTCTCCAACGTTCCCCTGTAGATGTCTCCCGACTGTCCATGTGTCATAAAGTTTGTATCACTGAAATGATTTGTGGCTTCAAGTACCTTTTCATACATAAATGGTTCCCCTACAGCAGATAAATCAACAGAAGCCTTATCGGCTGGTGCAGTATTGGCTGCTTCTTGGACAGGCCGCACATTTGCAGACTCACTTTGGATTGGAGTTCTGCTAGAGCGTTTTTTCCAGTATAATGCTATTATTGCCAATAACAATAGCACAAGGAATCCACCAAAAACTCCAACCAATATGTAGACCAATCTATTTTTGCGCCTGTGAGTTTCTTGCAATGGAATTTGCACTGACCCATTCTGATTAGCGTAAAACATTCTGCAGTCTTCTGCATTTCTCTGGCCTGTTACCTTCTGCAAGCAATTATTGGTAATATTTACACTGCTACCAACATTACTTGGAACAAATCCCTGGAAATAGTTGCTCGACAGATCAATTGAACGAAAATTCCCAATTTCAGACGTCAAATTCCCATAGAACTTATTGTTTGAGAAGTTGAATGAAGCCCCTGTGGCATTAAAAGACTTCAAGTTTGGGAAACCACCAGTGAAGTTATTCCCAGAAATATCAAGAAACCTCAAGTGGGACATGGACAAGAAATTGTCTGGAAGTTCACCACCCAAATTGTTCCCTCTTAGAACTACATCCTTCAACCTAGTAAGATTTGAAAACAAGCTAACAGGAATGGTACCCTCTAGCTGATTATTCCCAACCAACAGTTTCTCTAAACTTCTCAATCTACCCAGAATCTCAGGCAATGAACCTGACAGGTAATTCTGCCCAAGATCAAGCTCCACCAGCTGAGAAAGATTAGCCAGCTGATTAGGAATAGAACCACTGACACTATTACTGGATAAATCAAGGGACCTGAGGCTATGAAGTGAACCAAACTCAATAGGAATTGAACCAGACAAATAATTTGAAGACAAGTTGAGACTAGTAAGATTTTGAAGAGCTGAAAAAGCACTTGGAATTGAACCTGCCAATGAATTCCTTGAAAGATCAAGAGACTTTATCAATGATAATTTCCCTAATGCAGGAGGAATAGTCCCAGTAATTGAATTATTTGATAAAGATAGATAAGAAAGCCTACTCAAACTTCCAAGCGAAGATGGAAGCAAGCCGAGAATTGAGCTGGAACTAAGGTCGAGCACTTGGAGGGTGCCTAACCTCTGACCAAACCAGTCCGGGATTGACCCCGGAAGAGAAAACCCGGATGAATTAAAAGCCTCTAAAGCTGTAAAATTGGCTAAAGAATCAACAGCAAACAGTGGATTACCCCGTCCCCGGCGAGTTCGCATCAACCCGGATAAGTTTATTCCGATAACTCGCCCTCCCCGGCACTTTACTCCGGTCCATTTCGAGCAAGGATCCACCTTTCTTCGCCAATCTCTAGCTCTGATACCAAGTGAGCTCCGGAGGCCCAGCAAAGCTCGCCACTCCGAGTTCGAACTCAGTCGGCCTTGCTGAGCCACCACCGCGTTGAATAAAACGAATAAGAAAAAAGCAATCCTGAACTGAACTTCCATGGCTCCTTCTCTGAATCTCTGATACCCCAAGATCTATGGCAGTGTATGAAGCTCTTTCTTCAGCTTCATTTCAATGCAATGCAACTACAAAACACCCACTTTTTTTCCTCTTTTTCCCTCCCTCTATAAATGCCCTATATATGATATGTGACTGGACTACCTATAAGTGTTAAATATCAACTGTGTTTACGTGTTCTTTCTAACTGTAGGGGATGTCTGGGGAAAATAAAGGCTAGAGCGGAGCATTAATGGCGCAAAGGTATTGCGCAACGGCCACAACTGTTCATTACTGAGCTTCTCTCAACTCTCTCACCATCATTAATGAGTGCGTTGAATCCTGAGTTGACTCGCTGGTTATGTTGCGTGGCAGGTTGAGCTGGGATTGGTTCTCGGAACTCGGTATCGGAACATGCACCACGACTCACTAGATTGTCGTTTTCCAATTTCGCCGGCTGGTTTTCCGGCGCCGGCAACTTCCTCTTCTTCGTCTTTTTTCAAATAAGAGTAATAATTTAAAGCTAATGATGACTAGTGTTAACCAATCTTATATTTAGCAACCTTATTTATAGTACTTCCTTCAACAAGAAATTCTTTTTGTTACCCGAAATAGTAAGGTGGATAAAATATTATTTTCCTACTAAAATATTTTGTATTAAAAAGTTAAAATTAAAATTTGATCTCGACACATCCTCAGTTAATGGTTATGAGTTTT